AAACTCCTAAACCCCCACACCCCCAAACCCCCACACGCCTAAACCCCTAAACTCCTAAACCCCCACACCCCCAAACCCCCAAACCCCTAAACCCCTAAACCCCTAAACCCCTAAACCGGTAGACCCCTAAACCCTAAACCCTAAACCCCTAAACTCCTAAACCCCCACACCCCCAAACCCCTAAACCCCTAAACCCCTAAACCGATAGACCCTAAACCCCTAAACTCCTAAACCCCCGCACCCCTAAACCCCTGCACCCTAAACCCCCACACCCCTAAACCCCTAAACCCCTAAACCGATAGACCCTAAACCCCTAAACTCCTAAACCCCCACACCCCCAAACCCCTAAACCCCTAAACCCCTAAACTCCTAAACCCCCACACCCCTAAACCCCTGCACCCTAAACCCCCACACCCCTAAACCCCTAAACCCCTAAACCGATAGACCCTAAACCCCTAAACTCCTAAACCCCCACACCCCTAAACCCCTGCACCCTAAACCCCTAAACCCCTAAACTCCTAAACCCCCACACCCCCAAACCCCTAAACCCCTAAACCCCTCAACCCCTAAACCCCTAGACCCTAAACCCCTAAACTCCTAAACCCCCACACCCCCAAACCCCGAAACCCCTAAACCCCTAAACCGATAGACCCTAAACCCCTAAACTCCTAAACCCCCACACCCCTAAACCCCTAAACCCCTAAACCGATAGACCCTAAACCCCTAAACTCCTAAACCCCCACACCCCTAAACCCCTAAACCCCTAAACCCCTAAATCCCTAAATCGATAGACCCTAAACCCCTAAACTCCTAAACCCCCACACCCCTAAACCCCTACACCCCTAAACCCCTAAACCCCTAAACCCCCACACCCCTAAACCCCTGCACCCTAAACCCCCACACCCCTAAACCCCTAAACCCCTAAACCGATAGACCCTAAACCCCTAAACTCCTAAACCCCCACACCCCTAAACCCCTGCACCCTAAACCCCCACACCCCTAAACCCCTAAACTCCTAAACCCCCACACCCCCAAACCCCTAAACCCCTAAACCCCTAAACCCCTAGACCCTAAACCCCTAAACTCCTAAACCCCCACACCCCCAAACCCCTAAACCCCTAAACCCCTATACCCCTAAACCCCTAAACCCCTAAACCCCTAAACCGATAGACCCTAAACCCCTAAACTCCTAAACCCCCACACCCCTAAACCCCTAAACCCCTAAACCCCTAAACCGATAGACCCTAAACCCCTAAACCCCCACACCCCCACACCCCCACACCCCTAAACCCCTAAACCCCTAAACCCCTAAACCCCTAAATCCCTAAATCGATAGACCCTAAACCCTTAAACTCCTAAACCCCCACACCCCTAAACCCCTAAACCCCTAAACCCCTAAACCCCTAAATCCCTAAATCGATAGACCCTAAACCCTTAAACTCCTAAACCCCCACACCCCTAAACCCCTACACCCCTAAACCCCTAAACCCCTAAACCCCTAAACCGGTAGACCCCTAAACCCTAAACCCTAAACCCCTAAACTCCTAAACCCCCACACCCCCAAACCCCTAAACCCCTAAACCCCTAAACCGATAGACCCTAAACCCCTAAACTCCTAAACCCCCGCACCCCTAAACCCCTGCACCCTAAACCCCCACACCCCTAAACCCCTAAACCCCTAAACCGATAGACCCTAAACCCCTAAACTCCTAAACCCCCACACCCCCAAACCCCTAAACCCCTAAACCCCTAAACTCCTAAACCCCCACACCCCTAAACCCCTGCACCCTAAACCCCCACACCCCTAAACCCCTAAACCCCTAAACCGATAGACCCTAAACCCCTAAACTCCTAAACCCCCACACCCCTAAACCCCTGCACCCTAAACCCCTAAACCCCTAAACTCCTAAACCCCCACACCCCCAAACCCCTAAACCCCTAAACCCCTCAACCCCTAAACCCCTAGACCCTAAACCCCTAAACTCCTAAACCCCCACACCCCCAAACCCCGAAACCCCTAAACCCCTAAACCGATAGACCCTAAACCCCTAAACTCCTAAACCCCCACACCCCTAAACCCCTAAACCCCTAAACCGATAGACCCTAAACCCCTAAACTCCTAAACCCCCACACCCCTAAACCCCTAAACCCCTAAACCCCTAAATCCCTAAATCGATAGACCCTAAACCCCTAAACTCCTAAACCCCCACACCCCTAAACCCCTACACCCCTAAACCCCTAAACCCCTAAACCCCCACACCCCTAAACCCCTGCACCCTAAACCCCCACACCCCTAAACCCCTAAACCCCTAAACCGATAGATAGACCCTAAACCCCTAAACTCCTAAACCCCCACACCCCTAAACCCTAAACCCCTAAACCCCTAAACCCCTATACCCCTAAACCCCTAAACCCCTAAACCCCTAAACCGATAGACCCTAAACCCCTAAACTCCTAAACCCCCACAAACCCCTAAACCCCTAAACCCCTAAACCCCTAAACCGATAGACCCTAAACCCTTAAACTCCTAAACCCCCACACCCCTAAACCCCTAAACCCCTAAACCCCTAAACCCCTAAATCCCTAAATCGATAGACCCTAAACCCTTAAACTCCTAAACCCCCACACCCCTAAACCCCTACACCCCTAAACCCCTAAACCCCTAAACCCCTGCACCCTTAAAGGGGCCGTGGGCGTGGCCGTCGACGAGGGCCCCGCCTTGCCGCTCCTGGAACTGGCGGCCCGGGGGCCTCAGAGGGTTCGGGGAGCCCCTTACTTGGAGAGTCTTTAGGGGACTTAGGAACTCTAAGGGGTTCCTTTAAATGGGTTCTTTAAAGGGATCTATAGGGATTCTATGAGGGTTTAGGGTTTAGGGGACTTAGTAACTGGCTATTTTTGGTACTTATAAGTACCACAACCCTAATTAGGATCCCTTTTAGGGTACTTACAAGTCTACTTACTACCTAACTAAGTCCTCCGACCCTCCAAGTAAAGGCTTCGGCCTTCCGGTACAAGGGTTCCTTTAAAGGGTTCAATGAGGGTACTATAAGGGTTAGGGGCTCCTGTAAAGGGGATTATAAATGTTCCTTTAAAGGGGATGAAAAGGGTTCCTTTCAAGGGGATTATAATAAGGGTACTATAGGAGTTAGGGGATGATTTGAAGGGCTTTACGGGGGATTCGGGTTTGGTGGTTTAGGGTTTAGTGGTTTGAGGGTTTAGGGGTTTCGGGGATTAGGGGTTCAGGGGTTTAGGGGTTAGGGTTTGGTGGTTTAGGGGTTCGGGGGTTTAGGGGTTTAGGGTTTCCGGGTTTCAGGGTTGAGTGGTTTTGGGTTTATTGGTGTGAGGGTTTAGGGGTATAAGGGTTTAGGGTTTAAGGGTTTTGGGTTAAGGGTTTAAGGGGGTTTAGGGCTTACAGGGTATTACGGGTTTAGGGGTTTAAGGGTTTAGGCCCCGCTGTCTTTTGCTCGTGAATTGTCTTGCAATGGTGGTGAGGAACCCAGCTCAGTAACCTTAAACTAAGGAGCATACTAAAAGCTCGAAACAAGCCCTCTGCAACTGGATCATGGAGTCCCCTGCAAACTGCATGGAACCCTAAGTCCTGAAACTTACATCCTAAACCTAAATCCTGAAGCCTAAACCCGTGCCTTCAACCCTGAACCCTAAACAGGAGTGTTCTTTGTCTCACAGGCTCACGGGTACACTACGTAGGGTTTAGAGTTCTAGAGTTCAGGAGGTAGGGTTTCGGGTGGAGTGTGTAGGGTTGAGGGTGTATAGGCTTCAAGTTGTAGGTTCAGGGTTTGGGGATGTTCGGTTGCGAAACCTTCGCATCCCAGAATAGGAAGCAAGGCAACCAAAAAAGGTCGCCATTCGATGAGCGCGATCTGAGGGTCTCGCGAGATCCGTGCCCAGTCAACATTATGTGACGCAACGTCTTCCAAGAGGGCGGGTTGGTTGTGTACCCCTGACAGGTGGGCAAACGCCCTCATCAGGATGGTCCAGGGCTGGTTGGCTGGAGCCCCGGGTCGGGAGGACACGCTCCGCGACCAGATCAGGTCATTCAGGTTTGAGAACAGGTTCAATCCAGCGGCGCTCGCGAAGCTTGTCGCCGTGGAGAAGGGCTGGGAGTTGACCATTAAGACGACGGCTCTCTCGGACCTCCTTGCCTTTTTCTGAGCATGTCGGAGTAGAGGCACGGCTCTGAACAGATCTACCCTATCTTGGTTAACCAGCAGGGAATAAAGAAACACAAAATGACCACACTCCTGGACTAAACAGCTCCCTTTTTTTCTCAGGGCTGGTCTTCGACGTAAACCTAAGCCCTAAACCCTAAGCCTAAATTCCAAGCTCTAAATCCCAAGCCCTGAAGCCTAAGGCCTAAACCCTAAGCCCAAAACTCCAAGCTCAAAAACCTGATAAAACCCTAAACAACCCGATTAAACCCTATTAAACCCTATTAGACCTAATAAAAACTCATTAAAATTCAATTGAATCCTATTAAAACCTTTAAACCTTATTAACACCCTACTAAAACCCTAAGTCCAAAGAGCCTCGCACCCCGAGCTGAAGCTGAGATTCTGCTGGCGAACGGCCAGATCGTTCCCCTGGACGTTTGCGAGCCCGCCAGCTGAGCCTAATTTTAGGGTTTAGGGGTTTAGGGTTTAGGGTTTAGGGCTTTAGGGTTTAGGGGTTTAGGGTTTAGGGGTTTAGGGTTTAGGGCTTTATCACACATGCCAAACCCCCCCCCCCACAAACCCCCCCCCCCAGAGAAAGAATGCTCTGCAGTGGCTGAAGATGCACCTGTGCGGAACGGAAATTAGCCTTAATAAGGCTTACTTTTGGATTGTGTTCGGAATGACCTGCAGTGGCTGAAGATGCACCTGTGCGGGAAGGACATAAGCCTCAAAGGCTTATTTTGGGATTGTGTTCGGATGGTGGGTTTGTCGACTAAAGACGGGACACGGGCACTATCTTTTCTTCTGCGCAAGCTGCACAACACCCGCTCACTGATCCAGCTGGGCTATGAAAGCACGCAGCTCATCATGCGAAGGCTTTTGCACACCTTCATTCGGATGAAGCTTTTTGTACCGTGTGTAAATGAAAACCAGGACCGCATCCAGCGCGTCCAGCTCATGGGGACAACGCGGTGTGTCCCATTTGCGCTGGAAGTTCTTCTGTTCCGAAGGATCGTCGCCTGGCCACCACGAATTTACACAAACCGTTCACCAGAACAAACGATCTGCCCCAAAACAACTGCACATCTCCTGCCAAGTCATGACAAGAAACTAGGATACGTGGCCCTGTAGCCAAACGAGGTTGGATCACGAAGCAACGTCACCTCGGACTTCATCGTCTCGGTGCATAACAGATCTCTCAGCCCTGACGGCGTTGCCTTGGGTGGCCTTCGTGGCCCCCCATGAGCACCTGGTTCCGCCCGCGGTGGCGGTGGTGCCGCTCGTGGCTCGGTAGCAGCTTTTGCAGCCGCCTCGGCAGCAGAGGCTGCCGCTGCTTCCGAAGCGTGTTGTTTCGCCCCCTCTTTCGCCCCCTCTTGATGAGCTTTTCGTCTTTCCTTTTCCTTTAGGGTCTTCCGGGCGAGCTGAGCCACACGTTTGAACTCGCCACACTCCCGGTCTTCTTCCGCCAGCTGCCCACAGCATCTCAGGATTTCTTCCTCCTGTTCTGTGAACTTTTTCGTCTGCCTGTACACGAGCTTCTTCACCATCTCTTTCTTTTCCTCTGCAGTCGAATCTGGAAACATCTCCTCCACCAATCTGGATGCGATGTCCAGCTTGAGAACTGAGTTGTTTTTTCCTGAACCTTTTGTGGGCAGCTCGACACCCAGTGCAGCACAAAGCTGCTTCAAGTCCGGCATGGTCAGGAAGCAGCCTCGCTTGATGGCTGCTTTTGCGATGTCCTCGCCAGGCCCCGCCACTCGCAAGGCGGAGCTTTGACCTAGTCTGAGTAGTTCCGCTGGCATGAATGCCCGCAGTGTCCTCTCTGTAGGCAGAAGCTTCCATGGCCCCTGGAGATCGAAACAGCACATCCAACGGATGTGCACTGATGCCATGTCCTCTTTCTCCATGTCTTTTGCATGCAGCACATAGTCCTCATCTCAGGATTTCGACAACGAACTGAAACAATGACAAAACTCCATGTTTCTTCGACACAGGCCTGGCTGTCCACGGTCACACGTTTGAGCGGTAGGCCGACTGCAGCCCACTTCCTAAACCCCAACGACAAAACGTAGTCGTCATTCTCCTCGTGGTGGAACACCTCACCCTGGATGAAGAAGCTTCCTGTCAAGCAAAAAATGGCTCATCTTGCGCAAGCGACTACGAAAGCCTGTGTCCTTCCGAAAACAGTTCTGAGGGAACCCCAAAGCCATCTTTTTTCTATGGCCTATGTTCTCGGACCGGCCTATCCAGCACAGATCCACATGACTGAAGTTGTTGCCCACGTCTTCAATCAGGTAGGCCACCGCAGCCGACGACCGTTGCTGAGCCAAGGGCCCGCTGTTGCGCCACTTCGAATTGAGTATCTCTCGCGGTCGGGGAAACACCTTTGGGTTGGGAAGCTCCACCCTGTTGGGCGAAAACATCATCTGATTGGCGTAGTTTCGTTCGGGCAATCCGTTCGGGCTGAGCACGGTCGTGAAGTCTGCGGCCTCCGGCAAAATCTGCGGGCATCCACCCGTTTCTGCATATGGGGACACGATTGTGTATAGGAATTTGCACGGATCACTCATCTTCGCATTCGTCGAGTGCACAGCAGCTTTTCGGTGCAAAAACGCAAACGTGTTCTCGAGCGTGTCTTTGGTGGATGGGCTTCCAAGGTAGAGCTTTTTCGCGAGCAGCTTCAGCTCACGTGAGCTGGCATTGTAGCGGCTTTGGATCAGCAAAGCCATTGTTTCGCGCGCCAATTGTTGGCGATTCCAACCGAGATCGAACATCAACTCCTTCCACTCCTTGGCTTTGCATCGCTGGAGCAAATGGGAACATTCAAGCACGTGTTTTGTTGTTTCTGGGGGGCTTCATAAACTTCCCACAAACATAATCAGCAGCGTAAAATCTAGATTCGGCGTGCTGTGTCTTGTGCACTTCTGCGTCCAACACCGCCTCCACGATGGACTTGCACTGCGCCATGCATGCCTTGCATTGTTCTGGTTTTTTCGACAATAGCCCTGCAACCAAGCCCGGCAATGCCATCCAATAATGCACGTTGGACCAGAAAACATTGGCAGCCAGGCATACAGCAAAGGTGCTGGCTTTCTCGAGTAGGGCTTTCTCCGCCAAAGCCCAAGGAGGAAGCACATCGGGCAGGCTTTTTCGAGTGGACTTTGTGAAGCCCAACATGTCGCCAAGCTCCGCTGCGTCGATCGTCTGTAGCACATGCTGCACTGTGTGCACAAAGCCTCCCACACACCGACTCGCCGCAAATGCGGCTTGTGATGGCCATCCTTCACTGACAGCCTCCAGTGTTGCGTAGTAGCTGTTTTCCAACGGGTGCGAAACAACGACGATGATCTTGGCGACGTCTTTCAAACTGTAATCGCCCATGAAGCGCGAAATCATGCTGGTAGGCCCTTTCGAATTGAACATGGCATAAAGCTCCTTCTTGTTCCGGGGCTCCGCTTCTGGTTCTCGATCCGGGTCGTCCTCGTCCTCCTGCTCCTGGTCGTGCTCGCCGCTTTTGTCCTGGGATGGAACTCAAATCGACTTCGCACATACAAAGACCCTGGGAATTGTTCAGGGGCTGGAAAAAGGAGGGGCTCTGAAATAGTATCCCTTGCTCGGTCTCTCCTCTGTTCTTTCTCTCTTCCTTATATGCCTCCTTGCATGCAAGGAACACAGTACTCCTGCAAGGCCAAAATGGCCTGTTCCTGAATGGTCCAATCATGCAATGCCTCGCGTAGCGATGCATGGAGACCAAACCAAGCTTTCTGCTTCACCTGGGTTGCCGATATGGGTGTGACTTCAGAACTGAACTCCTTCAATTCAACCAATCCGTATTCAGACTGAGCACAGAAAGGCCTCTGTTTTTCAAGGCCTTCGTGCGAAGCCAGTCGTCCATTGTCTCCGCCGCATCCAAGTCTGCATCAAACGGGTCTTTGCGGTCGGCGGCGACCCTTTCTGCGAATTGCTCGTAGTAGTCTTCGCTTTGGCCCTCCAAGAACATCTGGAAACACTCCCTTTTTGCCTCGAGTTTGTCTCCGCTTTTCCAAGCCCCATGATCAAAGTTGCCTCGGTCTGGGGAAACGGGGGTGCTTCCAGGATGTCGTTGCTTCGTGCTTCGTCCTACTAGCTGCTCGCAATGTCACAACCTCGGGTCTATGGGAAGCCGAGGAACAAATCAAACTCAATTTCATCACCGGCATTGTAAAGTTTGCAGCACTCATCGCCTTGCGAAAGGCGTTCCAGGATGGGTGGCTGCACTCAGACTCGCTCGTGCCGCGCAGGTGTAGTCTCTCCCAACAAAAGTTGAACGATTTGTGCTGGGTCCCCTCGTCGTCGGCGACCTTGCAATGCTCTGCTGGACTGTGCCACAAAGCCATGCAAACAAAGTCGGGGACTACACCCCACACCGAGTCACCACTTTGAGCAACTGCATTCGCTCCACTGGCGTGATCTGCGCTGTTCGCAGATCCTGCTTCCCTGGCTCCAAGACCTTGCAACTCCATCGACGCAATTATAATACACGTCCTCAAACTGAAATGTGTCTGGGTGCCTGCTCGGGTGGGGTCATGAAGAAGGCTAGGTCCTTCCCCGTGGCCATCAGCAGGGCGTGGTTCACGGTCTTCAACATAACCTTGCCATATCAACATGCATTTGTGGCAACCCAAATTGAGGCTGAACTTCGCTCTGGAGCTGGGGGCCCCGCGTAGAACAGGTTGCTTTCTTTTTTGGAGATGGTCGGCCTCCGGGGTGAAATCCGGAGATTAAGGCCACATGCCCCGTGCACGTCCCCGCAAAAGCCTCCATGGGCTGGACCCGTCCAGCTGCTCTGCGATGACTTTCTTCAAGACCTTATATGAGTGCAACCAACAAGCGTTTGGTGAAAGTCTACTGTGCAGGCAGTTCTGCAGACCTCTTTTGCTTTGCGCGTTCTTCTTCTTCTTCTTCTCTCTGTCTCTCTCTCTCTCTCTCTGTCTCTCTCTCTCTCTCTCTCTCTCTCTCTCTCTCTCTCTCATTCTCTCTCACTTGCTTTTGTGCTCCGGAAAGTCTGCCTTGTCCGTCCGGCACGGACAAGCTTTGCATGTCAGTTCTGGCTGACTGCCCATGATCTCAAAAAAACTGCTTCTGAGCACGCAGGCCTTCACTGTCAGTGGCCGGTTCCGAAACTTCACCAAAGACTGGCTGCACAAAGGTTCAGGGCTAGTTCTGTTGTGTTTCCCAGCCAGTAACACGGTTACAGTATCTCGGGCTTACTTGTCGGGCCATTCGCATGGTGCACCACACGCTCAAAAGCAAACGTTCGAATGGGCAGGCTTGCCGAGCAAAGCAGCAGTCGGGCTCTGCAACCGCCCACAGCTAGCTATCGCATGATCTGAGTAAGACGAGGGTAAGGATTTTGTTTACCTCGGCGTGGTTGGTTCAATGATCTGCACATATTGGTAAATACGACACTGTGAAGATACGGTAAAAACTGTTGCATGTAGCCTGGGAAAGATGTAGCCGTGTGCCGGTGGCATTCAGAATTCATCGAACCCTGGACAAGCTAATCCTAGACTAGCTCCAGCCCTCATGCTTATACATGTTACCAAAGCCCCCGACACACCCTCAACACTAAGACCCTTTGAATAGGACACTAGGATTAAAACCTACGGTTGCTAAGCCCTCATTGCCCTATATCCGCCACGCAAACCAGCCCAAAACTATCCGGAACTACCATGACGGCCTGTGGTCACGTGGCCTGGATATGTTTGGGTTTAGGCCCGGGCTTCTCAGAAGACCACCCTCTAATTGAAATGATGTGACCTACAATCAGGGTGTCGGGTTGGGGCGCTTGGGGTTTCAGGGTTTGCGGGTTTAGGGAAAGCTTAGGATTTGGGTCTTTTTAAGGTTCAGGTTTGGATAATATTAAGAGCCGACACTACCCCTGGTTGCTCTGGCACCGGAACCAACTGACTGCTCGCTTGGCCTGTGCATCAGCCGTCGTGTGGCGGTGTATCTCGACGGCAGTCTGCGTCTACAGCCCCCTATCGCTTGTAGTTATAGTCATAGTTCTATAACCTATAATGTGCCCATAGTACAGCACCGCCGCGCGTCAGCATCATGAGCAATTTCCCACACTGCCGCAACAAGGCCGAGCATCATGAACATCCGGAAGTGGGATCAAGGCATTTATACTGGCATCGCATCTGCCGGGGTTGGCATTTACAAGATCACCAGGGGCAGAAAGAAACCTTGGAAGGGGCAGGGCTGCTTTGGGCTTCCCGAATGGTTTCCAAAACACTAGGCACCGAACAAGCTTCGATTCACAGTCTTCTCGTGTGGGATGGTGTGCACCAGAAATAACACTGATAGTTGTTGGTTGTGCGAAGAGTATGTGTGTAGGTGGGTAGGTGGGTAAATAGGTAGGTAGGTAGCCGGTGTGGGTAGGCTAGACTGGAAGCGAAGCAAATGTGCTCGCTTGTTTTGGGCCGGCCACAGATGTTCTTGATATTGTTTTCGCGCTCCCCCAGGAGTTCCCCTTTCCGTTGGTTGGCATCCCAATTTATAAACATCGTGCGGGGTTGAATCATACTCAATGTTTGTCTTCGGGAGGGGGGAAAGACAAGACAAGGATAAAGAGAAAGAGAGCGAGCGAGAGAGAGAGAGAGAGAGAGAGCGAGAGAGCGAGAGAGAGAGAGAGAGAGAGATAGAGAGAGAGAGCGAGCGAGAGAGAGAGAGAGAGAGGGAGATAGAGAGATAGAGAGATAGAGAGATAGAGATATATATATAGAGAGAGAGAGAGAGAGCAAGGGAGGGAGAAAGAGGGAGAGAAAGAGGGAGAGAAGGATGGAGAGAGAGAGAGAGAGAGAGAGAGAGAGAGAGCGAGAGAGCGAGAGAGAGCGAGAGAGAAAGACAGAAACAGAGGAAGACCGAAACAGAGCAAGACAAAGAAAGACAGAACATCAGAAAGAGAAAGAGCCAACCATGTTATGCGCACGCTCCAAAAACGAGGCAACCCAACCCCCTCAAAATCCAGCGCTCACAGAGGGGGGGGGTTGGGTCCCCACGCCATCTGGGGGGGAGGGGATGCAGCCGCCCGGGCCCTGGGGTCGTGGCTGGTCTGTGCTTTTGAAAACCGGTTCCAGACCCCCACAACAGCAATCGGACCGCTTTTGAAATCAAGCCTAGGGGGAAATGCTCTGAGGGGAGAGGGAAGGCCCTGCCCCTGGGGAGAGGGGGGGTCTTGTTTTCAATCCAAACAGAAATTCTCTCGGTTTGGATTGGAAAAGGCATGCCGTGCTTGTTGGGGGGGAAGGGGTCAAAATAAGGCCAGAATAAGGTCAAAATAAGGTCAAAATAAGGTCAAAATAAGGTCAAAATAAGGTCAAAATAAGCAAAACGCCTGGGTTTTGTAAGGAAACCACGCAAGGGTCAAAATAAGGCCGAAATAAGGTCAAAATAAGGCCGAAATAAGGTCAACATAAGCAAAACGCCTGGGTTTTGTAAGGAAACCACGCAAGGGTCAAAATAAGGCCGAAATAAGGTCAACATAAGGCCGAAATAAGGTCAACATAAGCAAAACGCCTGGGTTTTGTAAGGAAACCACACAAGGCCGGGGCTGGCAGAGGCAGGTTCTGTATCGGCGCAAAACCCCCTACTCCAGTGTCCTGAAGCCACACCTAAAACCTGCAAATCTTGAATGCTTGGAACCGAACTCCTAAAAGATCCCTGACTGCCGGCGCGAACCGCGATCACTAGTCGGCCGCCTCAGCCTCGGCCTCCTCGTCGTCCTCCCCGAACGCATCATTGGTGTTCAACTGCGTATCCAAAAGAGTCTGCTTGGATTTCTTGCTAGCATCCTCGTCATCGTTTGTTGCACTGCGCTTCCCGGCACGGCCTGGGCTGGCCGCTTTCTCGGATGCAATGCTCTTGGCATCAGAATCCGCCTTCTGCTGCTCAACCTGCTGCGCCACACGCTTCGCAATCTCGGCTTCCATGTGCTTCTTCATCTCGCTCTCCTTCTCTGCAGCAGCTTTCTTCTGATCAGCCAACATCTTGGTCAGCATCTCCTGTGCCAACTTCTCCGCGTGCTCCTTCACTGCTGCATCCTTGATCAGCACGGCGTCCCTCTCCTTCTCCTTCTTGTTGTTTGCGGCTGCCTTGGCTGCACGGGCTTTCTCTGCCAAATCGATCTTCTTCTGCTCGTACTCTTGTTTGGCTTGCTCCACAGCTGTCTTCACGCTGGCTTCCGTGATGTCCTTCACTTTGCGGCCCGCTAGCACAACTGCACAATCTCGAGCTTTGAGAAGCGGGTTTTTGGCGGAACCAAGCATCCACTTCTTATCATGTCGCACATACTTGACCTCCCAATCGTCGCAGCCTGCTTTGTCCGTGCCGGGAAGGGTCAGCTGGCGCATCTCCGCCGGGTCGATCAGCATTTGCTTGCCAGCCTCGTCCTTGAAAACGAACGGCCCAAACGGATCCATCTCAACATCTTCGGCCTGCAACATGCAAAGGTAGGCTACAAGGCTGCATAGGGTGGTCTGAATTTTGCATAGCTTTGTGGGCTGTAAGGGTTTCGCAGAGGGCACTGTGTGAGTTCTCAAAAACAACAGGCATCGCTTCGGCAGCATCCGGGAATATGGATTGGAGGTTAAGGCATCACCCGTGGACACAGAACCATACCAACACCACGCACTGCTTAGTCCAGGATGTACGAAAACACATTGGGCACCCACCCCAGCCCCACCCTACACCCGCGCAGAATGCACCCATGCAGCGAAACCGGCCTCCGGTGGTTCTTCATCAGAAGATCCTCCGAAATCATCATCCCCGTCTTGCACCGCTCCTCCTGTCACGTCTATCTAGCGCCGAGTCGGGGCAGGACCACATGCATGCAACAGCAAACACGCATCCGAGTCCTGGCGGTGTCTTGGGCTGCTGCTTGACTGCTCTAGACGGTTCTGGGTTCTTCTTGCCGGCACTCGTCGAGTTGAGGGCAGCATCTCGACGCACGTCTTTCTCTGCTGCCTTGATTTCATCAACCATCTCAGAGCACAACATCGGTTCCATGTCCCCTTTCTTCGTTTGCCATATGAACTCCTTGTTGTCGTGATTGTGATCGATAAAAACCTCCCACTCCACTCCAGGCTCGGGAGCACCGATGTCGTATTCATCCCCGTCATCGTGCACGAGAAAGAATACTTTTTTCCCCCGCACAGTCCTGACCTTGACATTGTACCCGGTGTCTGGTGGCCCGGGGTCACTGTTGTTGCCGTCGCCATCCTGCAGCAACATGGGGTTAGGCACACTTGACTTGACCGGGCAGGACTGGGTGGTATTGCAAATTTCGGCCGAGCCACGCTGTCACCGCTCTCCCTTCCGGGTAGGATGCCTTCTGGCAACTCGGCCGGGGTACCATCTGCAGATTTCTTCGGCAAGAAATGCGCAAACACACCCACGTCAGCTCCAGGCTTGAGGCCCGGCATGCGGTGCTCCATGTAGGCCGCGACTTGCTCGGGAGTCC